TTTCTTAGTACATGAACTTGTATTTTATTATGTAGAATGTTTTCAAAAATCAGTAAACTACAATTTATGCAGCAAATGTGCAGCCTTTAAAATGAGAAGTGTTTACTTCATAAGTCATTTACATTAAAATAAAATACATAGCATACATTCTTATAGGCTATAACCGATAATGAAAACTCCTGAACCCACAAATAGGAAAAAAACACAAAGATAGAGACTTGAACAAAATATCATCTTTATTCTGCAAGAGAACTGAATATTGTGGAGTTCCATTGATTATATACACGAGTTCACCTCATAACAAACAGAGAGTCTACAACCAATACAAACTATTGTAACAGATACAAGAAAATGTTTTGTGATGGAAATCATAACTGAAGAATACCGATAAGTCAGAAGCAACAATGATACTCAAATACTGAGAGAGAGGATTTCTGACATCTCGTTCTCTACATGCAGAGCTAAGTATCTCATGTCCTTTTGTGCCAGAACTTGTCTAATAAGACATGAAACACTTGTTTATAGAAGCATAAATGGACTGGAGCCGGTGCAACACGTTTATTTTCATTGCAGTATGTATGTTTTTTGGACATCGAGAACCCGTGGCTTATTGCTCAAGCTGAGTCTATAAAAGTCCAGAGATGAAAACTGCTGGTGTTAAGGAAATATTTAGATTTATGCAGAATACAAGTGAGTATTTAGTCAATAAGATGATCCGAGTATGAAGAAAACACATTAGTTTAAAGGTCTCAGATGAGATGCATTTATATGTTACTGAGTCGGTTGTGCAAACGGTATTGAACACGCTGTTGTCTATTGCTTCAGCTCCTCTGTCTCAGTTTTTGAGAACATCATTTTGCTTTTAGCCACTGCAACAAAGGGCTCCAACTTATTTAAGCTGCAAAAAGCAGACTTTTTTCATAAGCCGTATTAAAATTTATTTGACTACACCATAAACAGACAATTAACAGTGTTTGTTCCACTTTTTTTTTTTTTTTTAGTTTTACTTTTTTTGTTTGCTTTTATTACACAAAACAACAGCAAAGAGTACCAAAGAAGCATGCTGGGTTTTACGTATGTCAAAGTGAGAAGGAGAGTGATTTTTTTTTAAATTTTTTTCCAAAAACCTTTTTTTTTTTTTTTTTTAAATGTATATATATATAAGAAATGTGCTGGATATCATTGTGGGACAGCTGTGGTAAGAACACAAAAGACTCCCAATAAGAATCACAACATATTCAAACCTGACTGCAAATAAAACTTTGCAGAACTGCGCAAGGGGGAAATAGACAGTGCTAGTTAACAGTCCGGAAATAACCTTAGCCAGGTCTTCTAGTCATAACACCTGCTTTGTACAGAGTCTAACTGAAAACTCAATCGGTTATGAGTCAAGAAAGGTTGTTTTGGTACATGTCCAAACCCTCTGAGCTTTTGAAGCAATGCACTGTTGATTCTGTCGGCTTGTTATAATGTGTGCGCTTCCCCCTTTCCCACTTCAATACAAAAAGCACTCTAGTAAATGTCTCTCATACGAATTCCCAATGCAATGCTTTTCATGTCCCTGAAAACATCCGGAAGGAAAAAGAAAAACAGAATATTTCATGCTTTCGTATAGGAACAAAGAAAACCAACAAACCCAACTGCTTTCTGCCCTGCAGAGAATGACAATTACTTTTCTGTTTTTCTTAAAGAAACCATACATTTCTGTGTGGAATAGGGTTGTCTGTTTTCTTTAATGAATTTATCAAAACAGAAAGAAAAAGCAACAATGACTCTAGCTGGAGTGAACGCAAGACTATTCTGTAAAGAAAAGAGGCATAGAAACACTTGATTTTGGTAACTTGAGGTGGTTTAGTGACCTAACAGACAAATTAATGACAAAGAATAACTGATGCGAGCGCACGCGCGCGCACACACACACACACACACAAAAAGCATTTATCTCTTACAAACAAGTGAGTGCAAAAATTAATCCGCTTTAGGCCAGACTGTTCAATTTGAGGCTTAACAAAACTACATTTCGGTAAACAAATTATTAGTTGTTGTTTTTTTTAAATGGCAAAAAATGGACCCCCAGCCAATCCACAGTGAACCCTTCAATATACGGACAGTAATAAAGATATTATTTTGCCAGACAAGTGATGGGCTAGCGATAGCAACCCAAAAACTAAGACACAAAATTAAGTTTGCATGAAAGCAAGGCAACTGAAATACAAGGGAAGAAAATAATGCGTCTCTTCAACACTAGAGCTACCCAAGAAAATAAAACAAACCAAACTTAAATCTTTGGTCTCAACGCCTGGGAAAACGCTAATAAATGTAGCAAAAAAGTGATTAAAACATTTTTTATTCCAAACGATTATTCAAATATGATGTGTGCTATACTGGACTCCAATAATCAGCTCTGTGAACATAAATAAGCCCCTTTACTTTCAACAAAACACACACAAGTTGAGTTCCAGGCTGAAGAGTAAACATGTTCAGACACGTTTTATACTCAAACCACTCATGCCATAAAAGGGTTTTCCTGTGTTTTAATAAATGTATCTATGTATTATTAAAGACATTCAATGGTGAGTGATGCAAGAGTTCAAGTAATAGACAGGGGCCCCTCTGGGGCCAGGCTTAAAAACAAAAACAAAAAAAAAAACACAATTCTGAAACAAACCATTTGGAGGATAGAATAAAATTAAAATAAAGCTGGACCTATGATATACACCGTAACCAAAAGCTTTCCGCAGAAAAAACGGCAACACCAAGGCTGCAAAGACGTATTTGAGAACGGTCGCACACACCAAACTAAAATCAAGCAGCTGATCTGCTGAGGCTAGCGTGTTCTGGTCGTGCCACAGCGATGCTAGAGCAGACAAGACAAGAACGCAGAGTTCTGCCAGTAACATCCAATCAAACCCAAGAAAACCACAGCCACTTGCAATAGCAAATAGATGAGCAACTGAAAAGAACAGTGGATGGGGGAAAACCTCCATCAGTATCCCTGTCTGCATGTGGTTTTCACTCGGACTCTAGGTTGTAAGTTAATCTCAACAGCTGCTCTGTCTGTTTCCAAACTAACCCACCAACCATCCACCAAAAGACTCCAAGTTTTCCATCTCAAATAATGCAGATCACTTTAGAAGCAATTAACAACACAACCTCATGAAAAAAACAACTATTTTATGATTTGGCAATTGTTTTTGATTCATACGAAAACTTCCACCCAAACCTAAACATAAATGGGTGTAAGCAGATCGTACAAAACGGTACAGTTGTTTGAATTTGCCACCAATTTGCCAAAACGTAAAATAGTTAGAAATTGCCATTAGTGTTTTGACAAATAATGTAACTAAATTTTCAGTTGAATTCACTATATGCTGCTTTTTCTAACACCGCACGCTGTGCGAGGAGTGAGACGGGTAGTTGCAGTGGTGGGTGAGGGCTGTCTGTGCTGGTTAATGACCTGTAAGGCTGTAACAGGCTTATACAACTCAAAACGAAAACGAAAAGTAACAATGTGAACTTCAATACTGGACACCTGCATACCAGAAGCCCAACAAAAACAGGAAGTGATACAACTGATGTACCGACAGTGAATCTTGTGCATATAGCTTTGAATATTTTCATAAAGGTTTTATTGTGCGACATTAAAACCGACAGGCAACCAAACAATGAAAAGTGTAATATCGCTTTTCTGATACAGAATGAGTCAACCAGCTAAAGAGAGAAGCACTAGGCAATAAAGGGGCTTTTTTTTTTTTTTTAAAGGAAATTCTTTAAAAGGTTCCAGTGATTATCGCTTTTTGATGCCACTGAGAGCAGTTTGTTTTATCTCTCTGACAGACCACTTCTCTACCATCAAAAGCGGGATTGCACTTTTTTTCAAGTTACGTACTAAAGCACATCTGCTCGAACACTGCTCCCGCTTACTGAAGAACATCTTTTGAACATGTTTGACAGGTACACAAATCCAATTAAGCATTAAGATGCCACATCAGTTAAAAACCATGAGTAATTGTTTTAGTTTTTTTCAATTTTGGTGCAGCAGTCAGTTGCCATTTCTACATAAGTGCTTTATGTTGACTGTCTGTGCATGCGATTTTGGTTCTTAAAAATGTGGAGCTTCTGTTCAGAGGACACAGATCCAAACTATTTCAAGTAGTTTGCAAACTAGGTGTATTAAGTTTAATCTCGCTCAATTAATACAAGCCAATTTTATCAATAGTAAAAAAAAAAAAAGGGGTCCTCCCCTTGCCAACTTTGGTCTCTGCACTGAGCTGTAGCGATCTTAACTGCTTAGGAAAGGACAAAATTTCTGTTCCAGCCAAACAGAAAACAAGGACAAAAAAAATTAAATAAAAACACCCCTCTAATGTTAGTTAAAACTAACTTTTGTTTTTAAGCCTACAACACGTTTTCACTTGTGCCCTCCCAAACCATCCCACAACCCCTCGTTCAGCAGCAGTCACTGTGAGAACACTCTGGAAAGTGTCAGTCGTCTGTTTGCTACAGTTTTTGCCTTTTTTAAACACGTAAAAAGAGAGATGGAAACATTTAAACTAAATATTTTCCTGCTTTACATATAGTTAATTAAGAATTTTGCAAAGACAATACAAAGAAATAAAATAAAATAAAAAAACAGCTGAATGAAAAATAGAGAAATGTGAGAAAATCGAGGCAGGAAAAAAAAAAAAAAAAGCTTAAGCTAAAAGCTAAAATGGAGCATGTAAAAAGTCCCAGCTGGAGTTTAGGAAGCAGTGCGGGTCACCTGAAACTCGCCTCCTCTGCTTCCTTCTGCTTTTTTCACATTCACAAACATTTAAAACTTCCTTGTGCAAATCAAGCAGTCTTTAGAAAGAATGCCCTCCAAATTGTCAAAAGCAAAAACCTATAGGCCATGGAGGTATACACTAGACTAAGAGAACCATTTGTAGACACTTAAGAATCATCATTCTCCCATTTCATTGGCATAACTATAACCTCACTATGTCTACATCTTAAGATACTCACACAACAGAGCAGGCGTAACAGCCCTTCTTGCTGCTCTCTCGGATGAGGAAGGCTCCTTCGGGTTTGCCGTGTAGCAAGTCCTCAGCCTGCGTTCGGTTTAGGTCCCCCACAAACCAGCTCTTCTCATCGTAGTGTGGCAGATTCTCATCCTCCTCACTGACGAAGTAGGTGCTGCGAGAGGAAATGTGTTAGATGCTGTGATGGAGCATTTGATCTCAAATTTCAAGCAATATACGACAATTTGACTTACTCATCCGTGTTCTCGTTTCTGATCCCCAGCCAATCGTTTATTCGTTTCTGTCGAACACCTTTATGATTGAGCCAGCTGCATGAGAAAGAAGCAGTGGAGTGTTTATACATGGAGGAAAAACTGTCAACAATGAAGATGACGAAATGAGGTGCAAAGGAATGTTCTTCTTACACAAGGTACTGATCTCTAATCTTTCTGAGCTGAATGAGATCTGGCTTTAAGCTGTTCATTTTCTTGTCCGTCTCCCTGTTGTCCAGAGCCTGTGTTTTAAGGTCCTGTTCAAGCCGGGTCTTACTGTCGTGAATCTCGCCAAGACGGGATTTGAGCTTCTCGTAGTTCATCATGATCCTGAAAAAGAAACAAAAGCGATTTGTCAACCCACAGATCAAGGTTGCCGACCAAAGCGCTCTTAATTGAAGACTTTGCGTACCTTTCGATCTCTTTGTCATTGCCCTCTCTGCGGAATCGCTCGATGTATTCTTTACTGTAGCGTTCCTGCGTATGACACTGTTCTTCAAAAATTTTAATGGTCTCATTGAAGGCCTCTATTGCAGTACGTTTCATCTGGATCTCCTGCAATCAAAGGAAAGATAAATCAATGGATGTGATGCTGTGCCTCTTAACAGACTTGGTTAATTGAGCTTCTGTAATGGAATAAATAGTTTGTGCATGTGGCGTTTAGCACTGGAGTTAATGGGTCGGTTGTCTATTGATCCGATAGCGATGTTCTAAGAGGCTTACCTGTGAGGTTTTTGTGTGCTCCTCGTAGAGTCTGTCATATTCTTTACTCTTCTCCTGATATTGATTGTGATATTCCTGGAGTTTCCTCCCCACTGCATCAATGTTGTCCTCTTTCACCAGCTGATCCTTAGAGAGTGAGAGTAAATGCATTGTTATTGATATGAATTGCTGAGCGAAGAAAAGTGCGATGGGAAAAAAAAAGGAACTGCTCGCAGCAACATACTGTAGGTTTTTCTTACAAAGTGAAAGCCATTTTTCAGGAATTTTCTTCCAGGAATCATTAATAAAAATCTTGGAATCTGTAAGTGCCTCTCAAGGGCTTACATTTGTGGAACCCCCTAAATAATGAGCACCTGTGTGTCTGAGAAAGATACCGGGAGGGAGGAGGAGGAGGAGGAGGGGGAAACGAATAAATGCCTGGATGGCCTTTCGACATTGTGGATGTGTGCAATTATTTAGGAGGTGCGCTGCTGTGGCAATAAACAAAGTAATATTTCATGCCAAAAGCATCCTGCTGCCTCTGCAGTTTCACTCACAACAAGCTGCACAATTCATTCAGCAAACACGCTCTTTAGGGCCGGAGTGAGGGAGGGAGAGGTGGGAGGACAGAGGTAAAAGGAAAGGAAGGGATGGCTGTAAATGTGATACCCCTGCCCTCAATCTAAACCCATTTACCTGCTGGTAGCGGGAGACGGGATACATGAGCTTTACGTCCAGTTTGGTGTTGTACTGGGCCAGTGACTCGTGCCTGTAGTGACTGATGAGCTCCACCACTGAGCTGAACGTGAGCGGGTCTGAGAAACCGTACTTCCCATCCCGGTGGTAGATCTTTATTAGCTTATTGTTTCCACCTTTCCTGTAGGGAAAAAAGATTGCGTTGGACCACGGATCAATGTAAGCTAAATGGAGAGGGTTTTAAACAAGTAGAAGCTTTCCAAAATATTAGTTACCTTAGCGTTAATGTGTAATCTCCCTGCATCTTGGTCGAGGCGTCCCGTACCAGGAAAGTACCATCGGGCATGTCTCGCAGTTTGTCGTTCACCTCTTCCCTGCACAGAAAAAAAGACATACTCCACACATCAAATCTTGCGCTTAATAATTAATAATTACAGCTAAAATAAGTTTTCCATGGACTGTCCTATACTAAATGGAAAGGGCTGACACACACACAAAAACATGCCTGGCTGTATAAATAAATTTGGTCTGGCAGAGGGCAAAGGCACTGGTCTGTGACCATACTGTCTGCTACAGCCGTCTGGGAGAGAGTGAGACATCTTTGAATGGTTTAACTGTTGACCCCGTCCTGCACAGCCACATGTACGCCGATGCCTCCAGCTCTTGTCTTAAAATCAGACAGTCTGTCTCTTTAAAAGTGCCTCCAGACGACCAGCGGAGGAGCTGTCAGGCTTCAAAGACTATCCTGCTTTTTTGCCCCCTTCTCTATTTTAGTCTGTCTGGGAGGAATGTCACACCCCCCGACTTCCAGGCCTCCTCCCATTCTCCCGACAGCCAACAGCCTAGTCATGCTGGAGCTCAGCTGACCCCAGCCCTGGCTCTTAGGAGGGGGTATATTTAGCCTACTTTGGGCTGCTGAGGTAAGGAGCCTTTGACTAAGCAGTGCTCCCACCTTTCTGGGGAAGGAGGCCTCTCTTACATCCTGCACTGGGAGCTGTGGGAATCAGGTGCATTTTTAGGCTGCAGTGCATCAGCAAGTTCATTGTTTAGGGGAGGTGTCCTATTTTAGTAGCCTGTTTGGCAAGCAGCAGTAACGTCAGTGTGAAGTGGAAAATCTGGGATGTGTTTTTGCATTCAAAAACATCCGGATAGAGGAGATATTTGGACAATGACTCAAATTCAATAAAATGATTGCAAGTTATGCAGCCTTAATAATCACTTAACAATAACTGTTTATCAAAATTATCGAGACAAACATATCGGTGGAATAACAGGCACAATTTTGCACACAAATTAAAGAGTAGGCCTACATATTTAATAGTCAATTGACATAAATAGTCAATTTTGATTTCATCTAAGCTCAAGCCTACAAGAAAATCAGAAATCCACAACAGGCATGCTGATGGTTAACATGGCTGAGAACCATTACCATGAACTCAACTAAAATTTAAATCTGATCTCTCATAAATTAAATCTCTCAATGCACAACCACTGCTTTAACTAAGTACTAGTATGGTTGTATAGTAGTATCATTATAATAGGATTTTTAACACATTCTTCACCGAGACCATAATGGCAGTCCATATTTAAAATGTAACAGTTAGCATCACTGTGCTTTGGAGTTCTTTATTTGATGCCTAGAGTTTAGTTACTTTCTGATTTTGAAACTAGTAAGCCCTGAGCATAGGCTTGAAGTGAAAAGCAGATCTGGTTTATCTGCAGAAGGGACTGTGTGAGTTAAAGGATAGCAGGGCTTCAGAGATTGGTGAGCCTCTGAGCATCTCTGCAGAATTTCTACTTGCCCAACATCAAACGAGTCTAAAGCTGGTCACTAAGCAGCAGACTAATCTGCTAAAACCTGAGAGTTTTATGGGTTGTGTTGGAAACTGGCCAGACAGCTTGGCATTTTGGAGATTTGGGTTCTTCTATCCCTCCCCTTAAGTAATGGCAACTAAACCACCCCCTGTCTTTCTCTTTTCAGCTCTTCCTGTGTCTCTCCCCCACTGCATTGCCTTTCTGCTTTTGTACAGCTGCGGCAAAGCATACATGCCTCCAGGATAAGTGAACCAAAAGAAGAGGAGAGGATCAAAATAAGTTCACCAGCTCACATAAAGAAAGAAAAAGAACAGAAAAAGTTTGCAGAGCAGCTGAAAGAGCAACATGACACTGCAGAGCTGACTCCACCTCAGGCTACCAACTTGGAAGCCATCAGGTGGAGGGATGGGAAGATCTGACATCTCCCAACAGTCAAGTAACAACCCAGAGAACTTTCATCTGATCCAAATGCAGTCTTATGACTGTACTGGCCAACTATCACCTGACTTGCACACTGCCGTACGTGTCCACCACGTGATGAGGGCAGTCACACTATGAGCTAACTGGCATGAGGAAAGATTTTCAGAGCAGAACAGACAGAAATCCAATCAAGTGAGAAATGAAGTCGAGTGTCAAGTGACTCTTACCTTGATATGTCTCCCCAGTACCATTCTGCTTCTTGCAATGAGCCGCTGGCCGCTTCTTTCACACCGTTGCCATTTACTGGTGTCATGGGTTTTGTTGGCTTGGGAGGAAGAGCTGCAGAAGAAATGAGAGAGATTTATTTTAGTGGAAAATCTTCTAACCTCATGAGCAATCCTAGAAATATGAAGTTGGTGTTGCGAACTTACAGATGAAAGCCTAAACTTACAGAATAAACTAAGCGGACGTCATGTTAACAAATGGCTGTGTTGTTCATCCTCATGAATAAGGTTAAGTTGCTAAGAGAATCCAAATTTGAACTTGGTAGGAATACAATATAGTTGTAGGTATATATATATATATATATATAAAAACGCACTGCTTTTTTGTCTTTTAAGATTTTTGCGTAGTACTGACAGTTGAATAGAAGTAAGGTTTCCGCCCAGGATTAACTTTTGACCTTTAGCCCTTCATTTTCCCATAGATGGCCTTTCAATACTCTCCTCCATCACATTGTGTGTAGTTAGACGAGCTTGTTTCGGAAAATGCAACAGTGATTTCCACTGAAAATGCAAAAGATCAGTTTTCACGGAAAATGCAACAACAACATATTCCATTCGGCCCAAGCGAAAGTGTAAACAAAAAACAAATGACCTTCTCTGCCAGTCTTGCTTTTCTTCTAATTGCTGAATATGTAATGAAAAGGTTCCTTTCCTTTGAGTGATATGCTTCCTTTGTTGCCAGCAAAAGCAAACAACAGCTGCCTCAACAGCACGCTGGAAAGCTAACGCTGATGATGCTCTTGCTATCTTGTGGGTCAGGGGTCACCAGAACGTGCTGCTCAGCCACGCAGTGCATCATGATGCCCTCACTCACAGAAATATCGCTGAGAGAGTATTGCTGTGCGTTACATCTACACAGCATGCATTCTCATGTCTAATGTCCTGACGTGAATTTTTCAACCTTAGAGCCAAAACTAGACTTGTTAAACTAGAATGACGGTTAAACGCCATGCAAATTTGGCGTTACACAATTTTCAATAAGACTAGATGAATCTAGGGATGCAACGGCAACTGCTCCAAACAAGGTTTTCAAGTGTTTCTGTGTTCAAGTGCTTCAGGGAAACCTTCAAGACCAGGTGCAGTTGGCAAATTCTAGTCGGAGACAAAAAAAACAACAACTAATGGCTGCAACTCCATCTGAAATGTACAGAGACAGTGTTCAAGCCTTGCACCTACCGCCAAGCCAAACTAACCTCCCCCTGACCTAGATGAAACTTGCAACAGGGGCCTTGAAACAGCAACGCACCACTCTGTTCTCAATGCACAGGTTTATTCAGAAGGCTTTTAAGTGAAACCAAAGACATGCTCCAAGCAGTACTAGCGGACTGTTTAGGGAGGATGTGGCTCATGCAGATTATTGCCATAATGAATTCAAATATGGCCACATCATTATAAAAGTCAAGTTTCTTTAAAAACAGTTACCTTAGCCTGGCAAAGACAAGGCTGCGTGAGAGCGGGTGTATATCTATGCCAGGACAGGGGAGGGGGAGTGGTCTGCTGCATTAGTTATGGGGAAGGCATGGAGCAAGTGAGCATACGGATGTCATAAAAGCCCAAGCTGACTCCAGAAACCCCTGGGCCCTTCTAGCCAAAGAAACCTCTATCTGGTATGCGAATGAAAAGAGGCAAGACTAAGGTTCAATACACCGGAGGTGAGTCACGGAAATAAAAGCCCACAGGGACATGCAATGCACAATATAGCCAATGAATGAATCATTGCTGCTGGCACACTGTGGAATGACCCACTGCTCCGCACACAATTGGCTCCTTTATTAAGAAATAATAATAATAAAATCGTTAAAGATCAGAGAAGAGATGAAGACTCTCTGAAGAAAGAGAGAGAGAGAGACACTTTCTTGTGTTGCCATTTCAGTACTTTACATTTCTAAAGTTTTCATTGAAGTTTTATTACTTCCCGACATTGCAAACATTTGTGGATTGAAGATCATTATGGTTCGTTAAAGTTTTGATGTGCGGGAAGAGGGTAGTGTGAATGGCTTTCTTGGTAGGTGTCATTAATTAAAAGCAGTGGTGATTTTTGGAGTGAGAGTGCATGAGTGTAGTCGGAGACCCGGGCACAGTGACAACTCCTCCCTCCACTGGCCCACAGGAAACACCTTAATCTGGTGGGGTGTGCGGCTTCAACCAGTCAAAGCAAAGCCAAGCTAACGGACACATCCCCACCCAAACTCTGCTCCTGCAGGTGTGCGCACACACTATTCCTACATTTTAGTTGGTCTGAGGCTACGTCCACACGAAGCCAGAGCTTTCCCTATCCGATCTTTTTTTTCCCCTTGTCTCAAGAAATATCTGCGTCCACACGAAACGATGTAGTATACATGCCAGACCAGCCCGTGGCGCTGTAATTCTGCCACAGAGATACACTAAAAATGGAGAAGACTTGGACTATGCGCATAAACCTTAAGCGCGGTATACAAGCGAACATGGAACAATACATTTATTAATCTGTGTTAATGTTAGTTAATAAAAAGAATCGTTCAGAGTGTGTTCATGTTTTTGTTGCCGTTACGTGACGTAGCAGTGTCTGACTAGGGGCGAGAAGTGGGCTGATGATGTCATCGTTTCAGAAAATATACGGATTCGCTGTCCACACGAAAACGCAAGGGCGGCGTTTTTAGATTAATCCACTCTGGGACCCGGTTTAAAAAAATATCGGTTTAACTTTAAACGCCTATACGATACAAAATGTATGCGTATACAGCTAAACACGTCTCCATGTGGATGGGGCCTGAGAGGAGATCAGCCAAATGCCTTGAATGGAAAATTAACATTTCTTCAAAGAAATTACTTAAATATGGCATCCCTTTCCTGTCGTCACAAATTTTAAGGGGAGTGTTCACCACCTGGTAGGGGACCATTTGTGCAGCATAGCAGCTTGTGAAGAGTCATTTGACAATGTATAACCTTCTGTTCCCTCTACGCCAACACAATAATCACCATATTAATATTACATTTGCAAATACCCACGTGGCTCACCTCCTCCACTCCCTAATGTAATTTAGAGACACAAACTGAGATTCAATCTCTCACTATTCAATACCAACACAAACAAATGTCTATCTATCGCTATATATATATATATATATATATATATATATATATATATATATATATATATATATATTACAGCATAATAGCATATATTTCAGCCTGATATTTTCACAAAGCCCCTTTCAGAGCGACAGTAGCAGGCTTCCACCAGAAAAGGAAATGACCCCCCTTTTTCTCACTCGCTCTCTACAGCAGCCAAAAGGCAGGTGCACAAGCCCAGCTGAAACCTCAAATTCCCGCCTACCAGTTTTCCACTGTCAGCTCTTTCTGTAAGTGTGTGACCACCTTTGTCCTACACACACTTGGTTATCTTTGTGAGCTAGTGATGGGGTGTGAGCACAAAAAGAACATGGAAAACGGAAGGAAACAGAGCAAGAAAGAGGCAGAGATGTGACTAGGTGATCTCATTACAGCGGTCACCCCATCTGTGTTAGTGTCAGAGATATCGCAGCAGGGGGGCAACACAATGGAAAGTCCACATAGTCACAGAATGCAGTCATTTTTAAAGCTACCATTCACCGATTCAAACTAATTACGATCATGATTTATGGCAAAACTGAACAAACAAAGGGGGTCAATTTAAATGACAAAAGTGAAAAGATTTTCCTTAAATTTCTACAACAGTAAACTAGCCCAGTATGCTTCAGAATAAAAGCAAAACAAAAAAATTTGGGTAATTTTAAAAAAATAAATTGTAAGATATAATTTTAGAATTTCTAAATATTATTATATTTTCTAAATAACAAATTTTTAATGAAAGATGAAAAGGGAAATGTGAGAAAAAGAAAGTGACCAGGATGTAGGATGGAAAGGATGAGAAAGAATGAGAAGGAGTGAGTGGCAATGCAGCGCTGCGCAAGTCTGAACAAAGAAAACTATACATCCATAGGTAAAGCCTATGGCGATCAGCGACCAAGCAGTCCATTGTTTAGGAAACAAATATAAATGGCAACATGCAGCTCAGAACATCATCTCCAGAGGTCATTGTTCTGCAGCCGTCCTCTTGTGCGCAGTAACAAAAAGATATGTTCAAACTTCTGGTTCTACAGGTGATGGAGCAGATAAAGCAACGGTACTTTGAAAGACAACACAAACATAGACTGACACCACACACACGCACAAAAAAAAAGAAAAAGTTTAGTTTAGGGTTTGTATGTACAAATTAGGGGGTGCATTAGCATGAGAAAAAGCATGTGGCAGAGAGTGATGACAGTGCCGTTGAGGGGAGCAGCAGGCGAGGGCTGCCACGTCCCGATCCAGGGGGAATGAATTAAAAGTGTCACCAAGCAAATGGGTGGTTTAAATAGTCCATCGGGGACGCTCACAATCACATGTGAAACCATACGTGCTCTGTGCACATATTATCATGATGCACTGTCACCATCCGCTCCTAATGAATGACTAAAAGAAAATCCTTGCAGCTGAACTCTTAAAACAGCTTCAAATTCTTTTTTAATAAAATAAAATCACAAAACAAGAAAAATGAAGTACAACTATTAAGGATTACACGTCCTGGAAAAAGCATGGTTCTTACGTTAATTCATGTTGACAACAGCGCATGTTTCCATCTATACAAAATCCAGGACACTTCCCACACAATAGGACAAACACTAATTGTCATTGTGCTCCCCTGACAGTCTGTTCAGAGCATTACAATAGCCATAAGACAGAAAAGACGAAAACAAAGACAGTGACCGTGAAAAAGCAGAAGAAAAGAGGAATGGTGTCTCCCTTACCGTCCTCCTCGGGATCCTTTTTGAGCTGCATGTATACAGCCTGTACTCAGCTGTCTGTGACACAAGTCCTCTTATTCGCTCTATCTCCCTCTCCCTCTCCCACTCACTCTCGCTTTCTCTCCACCCTCCCTCGCTCGCTCTGCCTTTCAGACTAAAGCCAGAGGGAAAATCCCTGCTCCTAAATTCAGATGCTGCTGGCTTAACAAACCCTCTCAATGGAGAAGTTGGCAGCAGCCAATGAGAAAGC